CCTCATCTCTTCCATCTCAACGCGGCTCATGCGGTAAGGAGCAACCGAAATGGGCTGGGTGCCTGGTTGTAGGTTTATGTGAACTCAACTTCCCTGTCCACTGACAATCCGGGCAATTCGTCCGAAAACACATCTGGAAAGTCTTGGACTACCGGAATCTCTTGGATATAAATTTCATTCTTGGGCTTGCCTAGTTAGAGAAAATAGCAAGGTTAAAGTACTTGAAAATTAAGGAAACTTGCCATCAAAGAATAAGTATCAAATGATTTCATTAATTTGTAAATGGCTCATCATTAGGAGGATTGAATACAATCTTCTTGTTAAAGCAATCTATGGTGACGTGATATGCCGCTAGCCAATTCATCCCTAAAATTACAACAAAATCCTCTGTGTCTAACCCTATTAGGTCTACACTCAGTTTTTATTTGTTATCTCCACGTCACAAGCCCTGTAGACAACTTCCCCTAATAGTGTTTCACCCCTAGCAGTAGACACAAACAATATTGAATCAAGTTTATCAGGTGATACATTAAGTTTGGATGCAAAAACATATGAAATAAATGAATGCGATGCACCAGTGTCAAATAAAACATAAGCAATATGGTCACAGATAGTGTACATATCCTGTACCACGTCCAGGTCGGCGTCGGCATACTGCTGGGTGAGGTTGTAAACCCTGCCCTGAAAAGGAGGTCTTCATTGGTTCTGGTTCCTCGGGCACTCTCTCGCATAGTGCTGGGCACTACCACATATGCGACAGGTGTTGTTGAGGTGATAGCATGGTCGGTCCCCGTGATCCCTGCTGCAGTGCTGACAAATCTTGCCACGTGCTGCCCCTGGAGCCTAAGGGGGGCCTGGATCGCTGGTCTAAGCCTCTTATTTTGTTGGACAAGTGCAGTAGGTACTGGTTTGCGGGGTGGAGCTGAGGGTCTGTGACTCCCTGCTGACTGGGAAAGGGTGTTGAAACTCCTCTCCATGATCTGCACCTTTGCTAGAACGGCTGAATATGTCTTGAGCTCTAGTACCAATAAGTGTCGCTTGATCTTTGAGCGCAGGCCCCACTGGAATCTCCTGGCCTTTCTGCCCTCATCCATCAATGTCTCTGGAGAGTATCGGCTCAGCTGAACAAACTCCGTCTCCTTTAAATGTCGGATATTCTTAGGGAGGTACTCCGCATGAAAGGCTGCTAGGAACTGCTCCCAAGTGACAGGCGTGGGCAGGGTGGTCTGCTTGAGCTCCCACCAACGATCTGCTTCCCCCACTAGTATGTAGGAAGCAAGAGTAACCCTTTGCTCAGGAACCACTCTTAAGGTCTTGAAATCCTTCTCTATCTCCGCCAACCAGTACTGGGCATCTTCGAAAGAGGACTCCCCTGTAAAAGCGGAAGGGTTTAGTCTCATGTACCTCTCTACGTAGCCCGGGTCAATTAGGGAAGGAGTTGGGTCCCGTGGAAGAGGGACTGGGCCGGGCTGAGGATAGACTGAGGGGCCCTGTGGTGGCACCTGCTGATATAGTGGGGGCACCGGATCATACTGTGGTGGTGCCGAGTAATACTATGGCTGAGGCACCGGATTATACTGCGGCGGTGGTGCCAAGTGGTATTGTGGAGGAGCAGGCTCTTGCTGGGGTGGCTCGGGATCCGCTCACTGCAGCGGTGGCTCAAATTGTGGTAGTGGGGGAGGGTCGGGTAATTCCCTTCTCTCCTCTCGACCTTGTTGAACAGCAATGATCCTTTCGAGCATCTCAAATATTCTGTCAACATCCTCCCGAAGTGAATCATCCCGGGCTGCTCGGTTTAGTGGGGGTCTCCCTCTCCTCATCTCTCTACACCTGCATTTCATAAGGAAGGGCTGAGTAATAATTCTCAGTTTGGTATTCCTCTAAGTATTATTGTGTAAGGGACGGGTCCGAGGAACGCAGCTTTGATACCAACTGTAACGGCCCCGGAAATTAAAAGGAAATGCATATATTTATTCTAAGTGCGGAAGCGAAATAAAATAGATTATGATTAACATCTCTTACACAATAACCAAAACAAATTAAATGTATGAAAGAATAAACAATGTATGAAAGAATAAACTAACTTAAAGGAAATACTATGAATGAATGCTATAAGGAAAACTAATAAATTCTTTGGCTTCTACTTGTCGTCTTCCTGCAAAACGGGCTCGAGAACAAAGACCTCCTGGTCTGAAATGATTAAGTAAGGAATGAGTTACACTAACCCAGTAAAGATATCATATTATCTCACTGTCACAGAAGTAGATGTTGGTAGAAAATAAAAACGACCAATGGAGCATAATTTATAACAAACTCATTTATCAATAATAAAAACTTTTATTGTCCACTTACCTCCGTGAGATTCATGAAAACAACTTATAAGAAACAATAACATCATAAATATCATAAATTCACACATAATTTGTATCATAGTACATGTCATACTTTTGTATTTCAATCATTAGGCAACAAATTTCCTATCTTATTAGCCTACTAGTATCCATGGGGATCCATAGGGGGTCTCCGCTACACGTGAACCATTCCACATTAATAACTTAATGTCAGGGCTGTCCCCATACCCCGTCCGGTATGGGCGCCAAAATCATAAACCTTAATACCCCATCCGGTATGAGGGTGAAACAGGTCGTCCCCATACCCAGTCCGGTATGGGCGCCAAAACATATAAAGTCTCTATACCCCGTCCGATATGAGAGACCACGTTCCCGGTAGGGTTCCCTATGGACCCGGTCCGTCCACCATCTCCCAAGATATCTAGTTAGGTTGTTGACATTATCCATTTATCAATTCACACACCTTTTTCCATTTTTCTTAATCATAATTATCCAATCAAACATAAACAAGTAAATCAGTAATGGACACCAAACAAGGCAACACAACATCGAGTTCACAATGATTCAAACCATAATAAATGAAATCGTGATTCATGCATACGAAACCATATAATAAATACATCAGGCACCATACTGCATTCAAAACTGTAAAATAAATCAAATAAGAACAGACCGACAAATGCATCAGGTTCGAGCCTCATTAGCGATCTTAATTAATTATACATATCTATTAATTCATAAAATACTATTTAATCATTTATTAAAATTTAATGCTGTGATAGAAAATAGGGTGAGGGATCCTTACTTGTTTCGGAGTCTGAAATCGGGTTCTCACTGCGCCTATGGGCAGTCCTTAGATTCCCTGAATATTTCTCCGAAAACTGAAACATACTTCCGGTACCTGCACATGTCCCCAAAAAATCCCAAATCAGACCTAGGGCCCTTTCGGCCAATTTTGGAATTCCGGCACGGCGGCGATCTGCATCGGGTTGGCCGTTTCTGGTCGTTTTCGGCTGAATTCGACCAAACTTGCATTGGTTCCTATAATAAAACACCCCTAGGGCCCTCGGTAGGCCAAAAAATTTCAGAAAACCGAGACTTACCGGTGGTGAAGCTATCAGGTGCAGCCGCTCCTCCGGCGCGAGTTGCAATTCGGTGTTTTACTCCGCTCAACCTGTAGAGAAAAGGACGGTGGTCACAGTGGTATAAAAATTACATCGAACGGGAAACGGGAAGGGCCTCATCGGAGGTAAAAATCAAAGAAACCCGCGGCGGCACTGCTAGACTTCGGCGGAGTTTTTCGTCCAATCGGCTGGTGGTTTGGCTCCGATTTGGCCACAGTGAGGTTCAGCATCGAAAAACAAGTCAAGGGGAGAAATTTTACCTCGTTTGGCGGCCGAAAAGTCCTCCGGTGCGGCGGCGGGTGGCGGCGGCCGGTTTCTCCGGTGGCTGGGTCGTCTTCTCCGGCGAGGGTTCTGGCGGCTAGGGTTTGAGGTTGGGTGTGGATGTGATTATTTATAACCCTCCCTTTTTAATCTGAGTCGTCCATAATGATTTAATCTGAGCCGTCCGATCGCGATTAAATTAGAAATAAATCTGAACCGTCCATCACGATGCGAT